TCGCCTTTTCGCTTCCGATGGCCTTCCGAAGCCTCCAGACAACTCCAAGAGGGCCCATGAGGGCCCCAAAAGAGGCCCCAGAGAGCCCCAAGACGGCCTCAAGAGCGCTCAAGAGCGCTCCAAGAGCGCTCCAAGAGAGGCAAAAGAGGTGATTTGGGGGGCTACACAGAGGGGAGGCTAATTGAAGCTCCCCCCTTCTTTGATCGATCTCCTCCAAGATGGCCCCAAGAGGCGCGCAGGAGAGCCCCCCAGGACCGCCGAGAGGAGAGACCCCCAAGACGTCCCAAGAAGCCTCCAAGTAGCGCCCAAGAGATATCCGAAGAGGCTCCGAGAGGCATCCAAATGACCTCTAGCCCTTTTGTTTGCCCTCCTCCTCCTGCTCCTCCTTCCTCCTCCTACTGCTCCTCTTCCTCCTCCTCCTCCTCCTCCTCCTCCTATTCATCTTCCTTCTCTCCACTCCCTCATCCATCCATCCAACCTCCTCCTTCTCCTCCTCCCTCCTTCGCACGGATCGGCCGTCCACCTCTTTGCTCCCGCACTTCCGTGATCACCTCAACTCGCCTGGACATCGCTTCTGGATGTGCTGGTAGGGATACGCGAAGCGTCTAGAATAGAAAGGATGCTGATGATAATGACGATGACGATCTCGCATCACGCGCGCGGAGGACCGTTGAAAAAGAAAAGTTGTAAGAATTGATGTGAGCAGCAGCAACACCCTCGCGATGTCGGCTGCAAGAAACTGGCACACCATCTTAGGCGCGCCGTCTTGCAATCGAACGCATTGCTCGAGAACGTGCTGGCTCATCATTTCAAGACGGAACTTCATAAATAATATCGATGTACCATGTGGCGATTGATGCGCAATACGCTGGAGCATCAAAACACCATCGCGCCCCTCGCCACGACGATGCTCTCACCTCGAGACGGCAGCCCCGGCACGGCCACATACAAACACTCAGCGCCTTCGCGCTGGGATCAAAACAAATCATGTCAGAAAACTAATGCTCTCTCACCGGCGTGTCAGAAACTAGCAAAACATCCTTGGCTCGCCGTCGTACAATCGGATGTATTGTCTGAGGACGCGCTGGAACCTACTCCATCATCCGAATACGGATCGAGTGATGTATCCGTGTCACATAGTTGCTTCATCTGAGGCTCTGACGGCTGACGTGGCGGCGTACGACTTGAAACATGACCTACCATGTATCGAGCCACATCACCACAAGGCTCCTCAACGAGTCGGAAAGTTGTCCAAGATACTGCGTATATAAACATTAGAGACATGACAAGTTGCAACATCGTGGTCCCGCTAGTGAAATACAACCAATAAGCATATCCAGAATACATTTTACTCCACATGTACACACCGTACGCGAAATGCCCTGCGGAAACAAATGGCCCATGGCTTAGCAGCTTTCCGAGATAGCTCTGCCTCGGGCCAAAACTCAATGCCCAGACAATTACCATCGACGGCAGGAACAACGGATTCCAAGCTTTACAAACTGCCCACCAATGTGGCACATCGTGCATTTGATGATAGATAGAGGCGACCACAATCAGAAAAAAAAACGACGTCCGCACACGAAACGGCAACGCCAGCCCACCTGGCTCTGTCGGAATACCGCCCATATCTGTCTTTTTCTCTCTCGGTTTCTCGCTCTCTCTCTCTCTCTCTGGGGCAAAGCGTTGTCCGTGCGGAAGTCCACGTGAGGTATCAACGTGCCCAACACGAAATCGGGTGCCCGTGGCAAAGATACATACTTGAAATCCCACCAACACTGGTTCTCACCTCGCACGCGAGCAAGCCACGGTTCAAAAACAGCCTCAAAGCCGGCCTGGACTCCCGGGCATGGCCACAGACCGTTCACATCGAAGGAACCATCACCATCAGGTATACGGCCCACGTCTTTCGCCCAGGGAATCAAAACGAAAAAAACGATCTTGCACGCACAACAACACACGATGGCTTTGATTAAATTGTTTTTGGAGAGCTGCCCAGTTCTGCCGAAAATTGCAAGCTCAAACACAGGGAACAAGAAATACAATTGAATAATCACCGGTACAAACCATCTGCCCAGTTGCCCCATCTTCTCGATCAAAAAAAATAATGCGGGTTTGACCACGGGAGCAAAACTATTTGAATTGGCAACTGCACAACAAAACTCAACGGCGCAAGGAAGTCAAAATCGTCGTGCGTGACCTTCGCCGCGTCGGTCTCGTAGACTGCAAGGCAAATTCAATACAGAGGTACAACGCGCATCCAGCGAAGAAATATGAAAGTGACAACTTCTTTAGCCGAAGAGAAGGGCGCTTTCAACTGTCCTGGTTCCTTACGGCGCGTCAGGCTAATGACACACCCACTTAGCAGAAGGAACAAAGATGCACCATTGACCAGCAACCTCAAACCAGTGTGCTCCAGAACGATCACGGTAGCAGTGATTATGCGGAAGCCCGTTAGAGCATCAGTGCTGCTCTGCCGACTGGCGGTTCCCTTGCCGCAGTATTTCGCCAACACCACCGCAGATGCAATCAACAAAGACCAAGTATATATATTAGGTAAGTTGCGTTCTTTGCTGACTCACGAAGCGCGTCCCCCATTAATATGGTGCGCATGCCGACTGGAACTACCCTGCAAGCGCCAAGCTCCAGGACACAAACGCCTCTGCCTTGAGCTCACATCTGAAGCCGAAATGGCTTGAGCCAAAATGGCTACGGATGATAATGACGATGACGAGGACGATGATGATGATGATGATGATGATAATGCTGATGACGATACCAATGATGATGCTGCTGCTGGTGATTATGTTGATGCTGCTGGTGACGATGATGATGCTGCTGCTGATGATGAGGATGAGGATGATGAGGCTGATGATGATCATGTGATTTCTCATGTTTTTGCCGTCGCCCTCGCAATCACGCACCCCAGCGTCTGATATATCTTCTTGTCTGTAGCTCAGCACGGGTTGAGCACCGGCCCGAAGCTTGTGCTTGCGAATTCGGCTCCCATGCCCACCCTTCCCCCTCTCGTTGCCCCTCGGGGCGGGGGGCCTGCGCCCGCGCCGACCAGAGGCCCCCGCGGGCCCGGCGCGGGCGGGCCACTCGGCGGCCTGCGCGCTGCGCGCGTACGACTCCTGCCGCGGGCGGCGGCAACGACGACGACGACGGCGAAGACAACGGCTACGACGACGACGACGACGACGACGACGACGACGACGACTGCGACGACGACGACGACGACAGCGGCGACGACGACGACGACGGCGACGGCGACGACGCTCTGTGTGTCCAAGGGCCTTGCGTCCTCACCTTGCCTCCCAACGACCCTGTCGCACTGTTTGTGGCCGCGGCTCGCCGTGGCCGGAGAAACCCCCTCGCTCCATCCTTGGCTCCCCACGGTGGCTGCGCCTCGGGGCTGGCAGCGCAGCAGGCAGAGCACACTGTCCTTCTCCTCCATGGCGACGCGCGCCCTCAGACATCCACCGATCTGTTTTTCCCAACCAGTGGTGTTGGGTCCTCGTTTTGAAAAGGCAGTCCCCGCGTTCTCCTCCTACTTCCTCCCTCCTCCTCCCCCTCCTCCTTCCCCCACCCAATACAACTATTCGTGGCCCCATAGGGTGCTCCACCGGAGGCCCCAGTGGCAAGGTTCGCATGGCGGCCTCGGGCCATTTCAGCACACCCCTCGCAAGGATCGTGGCGCCATACGAGCTCCACCGAAGGCGGCAGTGGGAAGATTCGCATGGCGGCCTCGGGCCATTTCGGCACAAACTTCACGAGGATCGTGGCCCCATAAGAGCTCCACCGAAAACGCCAGTGGCACGGTTCGCATGCCCGCCTCGGGCCATGTCGGCACACCCCTCACGAGGATCGTGGCCCCAGAAGAGAAAGGTTCAAATCACAACCGGTCGGGTGAAATCACAACCGGACGGTTCAGATCCCAACCGTCAAGGACACGTGGGACGGGTGAGATCACAACCACATTGGAGCCTCTGAAAGGTTCTGTGAGAGGTTCTGAGAGCCTGTGAAAGGTTCTGTGAGAGGTTCTGAGAGCCTGTGAGAGGTTATGTGAGAGGTTCTGAAAGCCTGTGTGAAGTTCTGTGAGAGGTTCGCAGAGCCTGTGCGAGGCTCTGTGAAAGGTTCTGAGAGCCTCTGAAATGTTCTGAGAACCTCTGAAAGGTTCTCAGAGCTTCCGAGAGGTTCTGAAAGCTTCTGAGAGGTTCTGCGAGCTTTTGAAAGGTTCTGAGAGCTTCTGAAAGGTTCTGAAAGCTTCTGAAAGGTTCTGAAATATTCGAAACGGTTCTGACAATTTCTGAGAGGTTCTGCGAGCTTCTGAGAGATTCTGAAAGGTTCTGAGAGATTCTGAAAGATTCTGAGAGGCTCTGAGAGATTCTGAGAGCTTCTGTAAGGTTCTGAGAGGTTCTGAGAAGCTCTGGGAGGTTCTGGGAGATTCTGCGAGAGGTTCTGACAAGTTCTGTGAGAGGTTCTGACAAATTCTGTGAGAGGTTCTGAGAGTCTCTGAAAGGTTCTGTGAAAGGTCCCGGAGAGGTTCTGTGAAAAGGTTCTGAGAGATGTTCTGAGAGGTCCTGAGAGGTTCTGAGAGAGGTTCTGAGAGAGGTTCTGAGAGAGGTTCTGTGAGAGGTTCTGTGAGAGGGTCTCCACTACTACCACTACTACTACTACTACTACTACTACTTCTACTTCTTCTTCTACTACTACTACTACTACTACGACTACGACGACTAGTACTACTACTACTACGCCTACTACTACTACTACTACTACTACTACTACTACTACTACCACTAACACTACTACTACAACTACCACGTTTTCTACCACTACTACTACTACAACAACTACAACAACTACGACTACTACTACTACTGCTACTATTACTATTACTACCACTTCTGCTACCACCTCTGACTACTACTTCGTCTACTACTACTACTACTACTGCCACTGGTGCTACTCTTACTACTACTGCTACTACTACTACA